TTATTTTCTCACCAAAATCCATAGATTATTTCCAAAAAGGGCAGACGAAGTCACAACCGTCCTTAACGAACATCATCTATAGTTTTAGCCAGTAATAGTTTTAAAACAGTTTTTTATATCAAAACTTTGAAAATCTAGAACTATTAATTCTTTAATCCACTTCCTGAATTCAAAACCCTTTATTTCTTAAAATATTATATTACTTCAACTGTTTAGAAAGAAACAAATATTTCTTATATTACCAAAATAAATCTAACTTGAACGGACAGCTTGTATCCGGACAACATATGTCCAGACAGACTTCGCCGGACTCTCCATCCAGACAACAAAACACAAGACAATTCGGTCATACCTTCTCTTGACAACATAGTATCCGAGCATAAAATCCTCATCGGTCAATAGTGACCGGACACACCCTATCCCGACAATACTGTGGTTGGACACCCCTCCTCCTATCCGGACAACAGTATGTCCGCGTACAAATTCATCACATTCAAATTCGATCAACATTGTGACCAGGCTTACTCCAATCCGGTGAACATTGTGGCCGGAGATGAGTCCTAATCGGTCAATGAAGATTTTCAAGAACAATGTAGTAATTTCAACATATCAAACGATAAACCAATAATAAAATCATATGTAAAGGATGTTTGAAAAAACACTCACCTCATGCAATGGAAGACGGGTGAACTTGCATTTTCCTAGAAACCCCATGCATGCAAGTAAGTTATACCACATAACACATGCACACATACATGCATTTATATAAAACCTGATATATTTTCATGCATAAAATATACACACTCACATATTAATCTTATGTAAGCATGTATTCACATGATCAAATATAATAATTTATCACATATTCATGTAATAACATATCAAATAACCACATAATAATTACCTCGAGTGATAACCAGAACTCAGTTATCATATCGAAGAAGTTCAATTTTTTATCAGATCTTTCACAATAAATCAAATATGCTTATGGTTCATATGCTATAAAGAAAATTGTTCAAAAGAAAATTATTCAAAATAAGGAAGAACCATACTTTGTGGATGTGAAGTTTGTTTGGAAATGGGTTCGAAGAAAAGTTATGAATGACGCGTTAAAGTGATATCTACTAATTTGTTTGATACTAACCCATATGTTCCAAAGTGATTTTTGTGCGGACTTCTAGATAAATAAATCTATAAGTCCAACTTCAGTTGTTTAGCTTCTAAACATTTCAGTTTAGAACCTGTACTTTAGTGTTTATTGTGACTTCTTGTAGAAACCCATATTCCTCTTAAGTATCAATAAACACAGTAAAACAGAGTTTGAGTGGAAGCAAGAACTGTGCAATTGAAATGGTTAATAGATTTAATCAAGAAATGATAAGAATGAAGAAATCTGATACAGAAGACACTGATGGTAAGTCTTTTCAAAATTTTATGTGTGATGAAAAATCATTTCTTTCTAAGACTACTTTACCTTGTGTTGTTGAATATACTAATCAGCTAATCAGTCTTAGCAAGAAAACTATTTTTTGTTCAACTTGTGGAACAAATGACTTTGTAAACAAGAAGAAAGCCAAAAGCTGATATGGCAATGGTAAGTATGCTAACAGCTATCATGGAAACAGTTGGAATGGAAATACCAAATATGATGATAGCTGGTATGACAATAACTGGTATGTGAATAACAAGTATGATAATAATTGGTATGATACTTATTGCATATTTGGCTTCCTTATGAAGATTTCTAAAGTGAAAATATCTGATCGAAACAGATGGTATGGTACATACAATATACCCCAAACCAATGCTAACAAATTAGGACCCATGAAAATATGGGTACCAAAATATGAAAATTCAGATACTCAATCACATGATAGACTGATACTTGGTTTGAAGGGGAGTGTATGAAGTGCCATTATAGTTTCTGAACAGATCATTTCATGACCTGTTCTTCATGATAGCTTCTAAACAACTCAGTTCAGAAACTGAGCTTATCTGTTTCAAGGGATTATAATGGTTTTATCTCAAATAGTCTTTGTTAGGCCCTATGATTCATAAGTGTAAAAGTAATGAAGAACCAAAAGACCGATGAAGACATTAAGGCAGAATTGATTAAGTCTGGAGAACAACGAGAGGGTCGATGAATCAACCAGAGATGCGATGGAAAGAGCATTTTCATCACCCCTCTGGTCAACAACACTTGGAGTTTTCTTCAGCAGTTCAACCAGAGGCATGCAATGAAGATATGAAGATAAGGTTGAATTAACATCCTATGGAAGACAACTGGAGATAACAAATCGACAGCTGGATTTCAAGTTTATCTTGACTTATAGCTTATCCATACTTTAGATAAACTTTATCAGTTAGTAGAAGATTAGCTAAATAGTTTCGCTAGATAATTATCTTCTAATTAGCCTACTAGTATAAATAGGTGATTAGGCCTATTGTAAAAAATCGCCGCTTTTACGTTGCCATATTATTATTGAATAAAGTGAAATTATTGGCACTCAAGATTGTTCTTTGAATGTTCATACATTGTTCTTGAGTGTTTATCATTTTGTTCATTAAAACACTATAATTTGGTTATTGTTAACTTTATTATTAGTGTTATTGAGAGATATGAGTTCAACAGTCTTTTAATATGACAATAATTCAAGGAGAGTGTTTGAATTTTATCTGGTTTAATTTTAAGGAGGGTAAGTATTTTTTATACTTATCTGAATAATAAAATGGATATTTACCTGATATATTTTTTACATGTTATTTGAAGAAATAAAGAATTGAGAGATGCGATAGAGAAATCTTCCCAAAACCTGGGTTATTTAAATAGTAGTGTCACTCATTTTTCTAATGCCTCCTTCTCTTTTGGAATAAAAATATGTGAGATTTTAGTAGGCTGCTTTGTTTAGTGTATTGATTTTTTAATTGAATTGAAGATATCTAAGATTTTAGCTGATCAATTTATTAATATGTGAACTTGACTAGCTAAATGGAATATATATTTTTAGTTATTTTTATTTCAAATATGATAAGGAAGTTTGGTTTTAAAATAATTCTTTTTATGTAGTTATTTGTTTATGCAGTTTTTTTTTCTTTCTAAACAATCCTAATACTGAATCTTAGTTGGTAAAATACTCATGTGAAGATATTATTATTAGGTTAAGAGATTAACCACAACTTAAATAAACATAAACTTTGCTATTAGAATTTTAAATGATAATTTTAAAAATTGATTTTCTAAAATAAAAATTAAATTAAGTTGATTTTATTTTATTTTAATTCAATTTTCATTTATTTAAAAGATATAAATTTAGATCATACCTCCAATATAAAGAGTAGAGCATCTTCGATTGAGTTACTAATAATAACCTACTTTTTATATTTTGTCATATATTTGTCTACTTAAAAAATTAAGAACCTACATAAATTCTTCGATAGTAGTCACTTATAAAAACGTTCTTATCGTGGGTCTCATACGTTTTTTCAATGTGATACACTAATACGTATAGGTGTGAACCAGTTGAACTTTTAACGAGCTACTTAAGCTCGAGTTCGTTGATCTCAAGCTCGAGCCAATAATTGTTGATCTCGAGTCAATCTTAAACACACATTAAAACTCGTTAACTTAAAAAAGTCAAGCTCCATACCACCAATGTTTGACTCATCCTAAAGCTTGATTAGTTTTTCGAGCTGAGCCATTCGAACGTATATTTTTTCGAGTCAAACATGTTCTTAAATCATGTAATCAATGTACACAATTAATGAGGTCGAGCTAAGTGATCTCGAGTTCGAACCCATAAACAAGCATCAAGTTCGAACTCAAATTTTCAAAAAAATATATGAGCTCGAACCCTATTGAGAAAAAGTAATTCAAACTCGAATCAAATTCAAACTTGATAATATTATTTTTGTGTCGAAACTTCGCTTGCTAGCACTCCTCTCAAAATAAAAACAAAATCATCATACAAAAACTCAAAATATGTTGATGCATTATAAACACTTTTTAAATTATCAATAATTAAAAAAAAATTGAACTTTTTACTTATAATAACATCAATATTTAAAATACTTTACTTTAAACACGGATGATATATATATATATATATATATATATATAATTTTAATATTAAAATTATGTTAAATTATTTATTGAAAATATAAAAAATAACTTTTGATACTAATATGTATGAAAAAGAAAAGTATATATGTATTTACAATACATTAAAGAGTACTTGTACAATATATCAAAACATATCTCGATTTTAGTGTTTTGTTTTGTTCAGTCTCTGTAAATATTTTAATACGGTTTTTATGTGGTTTGAGAAAGGGATAACGTTTTTAATTTTTTAATAGAATATAAATTTAAAAATATCATAAAATTTTGAAAATAAATATAACAATATTAGTATTAAATTAACTATTTAAAAGTTTTTTGTAATTTTTTAATTTATTTTTTTATTATAATTTAATTTAAATTTAATAAGAAAGTAATTTATTTTTAATTTAATAATATAATTTTTATAAGGATAATGATTAATTATTTTGTTAGAATTTAATAATTATTCTAATTATATTTTAGATTTTTTATATTTAAAATAAATGTTTATCTTGTATTTGACTATGTTTATCTACAGTTATTTATACGAATTCAAACATAAAGGCTTTAATAAATTGTACTTATCTACGGTTTATTTGTAATTTTTAATTTTAAATAATATATTAATAAATAATATTTTATATATAAAAAATAATTTTTAATTTATTTTATCAAATATCTTATAATATACTATAGATAATCTACATGATGCATTTAACCCACCATTTTAAATGCATTTAGGTCTCTCTCTTCATTGTTTATGTTTTTTTTGGGGGTTTGGGGTTTTGTGTTTAAACTTTGAAGCGACAATCTTGTAATAGTCACGGTGAGCGGTGGGGAGAGACTATATTTGACTCAAGAGTAAACAGCGTAGGGTTTACAGCCTGTCTCTCTCTCTCTCTCTCTCTGCTGCTTTCGAGTGATGATGATGATGAAAGCAGAGTTAAGTCGCCGAATGACGATGAACAACACGAGTCTTTGAAAATTCAACCCTTCATTCACATAACCCATCTCCCATTTTTCCCAAATTTTCTGTTCATTTTCACAAATTTTCAAAAAAATGGTGATTCACTCTGTAACCGCAATAATGTTGCTCGTTTCCTTTCACATTTTGCTCCTTCTACCCGACGGAATCATGACAGATCTGACGTCCGACAGAGCTGCTCTCCTTTCTCTCCGCTCCGCCGTTGGCGGCCGTACTCTCTTCTGGACCACCACCCAACAAAATCCATGTAATTGGGCCGGTGTACAATGTGATAACACCATTAACCACGTCACCGCCCTCCACCTCCCTGGTGTCTCATTATCCGGCCAGCTTCCGGTCGGCATTTTCGGTAACTTGACTCAGCTTCGAACCCTTAGTCTCCGTTTCAACGCACTCTCCGGCCCTCTCCCTTCCGATCTCTCTTCTTGTGTTAATTTACGTAACCTGTATCTCCAAGGTAATCGTTTCTCCGGCAACTTCCCGGAGAAAATTTTCAGTAGTTTACGTGATCTTGTTAGATTAAACCTTGCTGGGAATAATTTATCCGGTGAGATTTCAACTGGGTTCAACAATTTCACTCGGTTAAGAACACTCTACCTCGAGAACAACCAGTTTTATGGGTCTCTGCCGGAGCTCAAAATACCCAATTTGGAACAGTTTAATGTCTCATTTAACAACCTCAATGGCTCTGTTCCTAAAAGTCTCCAATCAAACCCTAAGGAATCGTTTGTCGGAAATTCCCTTTGCGGTTCTCCCCTAGACCAATCTTGCCCTAGAAAAGAGGATGTTCCTCCGGCAGTGTCAGTAGATCTTACCAGGAACAGGAAGAAGAAGAATCGCTTATCCGGCGGCGCCATTGCTGGAATCGTAGTCGGATCTGTACTGGGGCTTGTCGTTGTCCTCCTACTACTATACATACTTTGTCGAAAGAGAACCACTAAGAAAACGAGTTCAATAGACATTGGTGCCAAGAAACTCGCCGATGCAGAGGTTCTCGGGGAGAAACCGCTCACAGGGTCTGGCATGGGTAGCAATGGATTCTCCGTCGCTGCAGCAGCTGCGGCGGCGATGACAACCTCTTCCACGGCGGGTGCAAACACCGGTGGAGGTGGAGATGCCACTGGTAACAAAAAGCTGGTGTTTTTTAGAAACTCGTCCACCATATTTGATTTGGAGGATTTGCTACGAGCTTCTGCAGAAGTTCTTGGTAAAGGGACATTTGGGACGGCGTACAAGGCGGTGCTGGAGGCCGGGATGATGGTGGCGGTGAAGAGATTGAAGGATGTTACAGTTTCTGAATCAGAATTCAGAGAAAAAATGGAATCTGTGGGTGCAATGGATCATGAGAATTTGGTTCCACTCAGAGCTTACTATTACAGCAAAGAAGAGAAGCTTCTTGTCTATGATTATATGCCAATGGGAAGCCTATCTGCACTTCTCCATGGTTTAATTTCTTCTCTTGCCATCTTAGTATTCAATTATCTTCGATTGTCATTCATCAACTGAACCTGCCACTTTAAACCCACCGTTCTATTTTGTTAACTTTTTGGTCAAAGAACACAAACAATTGCTACCCTTGTGTTTTTTTCTTTTTTGGCATTTTTGTTAGTATGATGGTTGTTTTGCAACAAAGTGAAGAAAATGGTTTTCTGGCTGCTAAAACAATCTATCTGCAAACTGCAAATGCTAAGAACGTTTTAATGGCAATTGGGTTTCAATTCTTGCCAACTGTCCTCTTTAATTGCCTTCTATTACCATAGTATTTGACATTTTATTGCAAAAAACCACTGATCTTTGTGAAGACACAAAATCAAACTCTATGCTCTACAAAAAGACCAGTGATTTTGGCCAAAAGTTGGTCTATTTTATGGTTGGTATTTACATTCCCTTAGTTAATCCAAAATCATTCATTCTTGCAAACTGTAATGTCAAAAATTGAGGAGTCTTGATCATGGCAATAGGTGGGGATGGGGCGGGTTTTCTAATCCCAGGCCCCGGTTTCTATTAACAGCCCCCGGACCTGTTACGCAGATTAACATCCCGTGGCTTGATGCCACCAAATTTACCCCCTTTTCATTGGCAATTGGGTTTCAATTCTAATCATTTCTTCTCTTTGATCGACTTATTTAACCATTCTATTTGTTTTAGACTAACCATTGATCTTATGAAAACACAAAAAAAACCATACATTTTGCAAGAATGAATGATTTTGGACAACAGATTTTGGCTTTTTTTGGCATATACACTTCCAATGTCCAAAACCATTTGTGTTTAGCATGATGGCTGTTTTCACAAATGTCCAAAACCATTTGTGTTTAGCATGATGGCTGTTTTCAGAAGAAAGCCAAGCATGATGAATCAAAAATCGTCCCAAAGTAACCACAAGGGTGGTGCCTCATTGGTTTGATCTTGGCTCCAAAGGTCAAAAGTACCTATAGGTCCCAGGTTCAAATCCAAGGAGGAATAAAAATCCCCTTGTAGCCACGGAGGTTCAAATGCGGTGACTCCGGGCTATCTGCAAAGCAGGTGGTCGCCCTGTGATTGGTCGGCTCACGTTGCGAGTTGGATATCCAGGTTGTTATCTGCAAAGCAGGTGGTCGCCCTGTAATTAGTCGGCTTGCATAGCGAGTTGGATATCTAGGTTAATAAAAAAAAAAATCGTCCCAAAGTTAAAAGAGTCCACAAAATATTTGAATATGACACTTTTGATGTTTGAATCTGGCATAGTTGTTTTCAAGTTTGTTTTCCAAAAGTTTTCTATTTTAGTAAATTATATGATAGGTTAATGTAGGGTATAGTCTGTTACTAGCAACCAAACCATTCCTATTTGAAGTGAAAAGCTTTTCCATTTCAAGCAAGTCAAATGTCGATTTTGCTGGACCAAGAAAGCCTTTTTTCCGGTTCGTTTCTGATGGGATCGATCAACATGATTGATAATATTTTTGATAAATGATCAAATTCGAAAGTGAAGTATTTTGATTGTGGTTGTTGGATGTATGCTGTCTTTCAGGAAACAAAGGTGGTAGTAGGACACCATTGAACTGGGAAATACGGTCCAGCATTGCTCTTGGAACTGCCCGTGGCATCGATTACTTGCACAGTCACGGTCATGATGTCTCCCATGGGAACATCAAATCGTCAAACATCCTCCTTTCCAAATCTTATGACGCCCGTATATCCGATTTTGGTCTAGCCCATCTCGTTGGTCTCCCTTCAACCCCGAACCGCGTGGCTGGATATCGTGCACCAGAGGTTACAGACCCTCGAAGAGTCTCCCAAAAAGCAGATGTTTACAGCTTTGGTGTGTTGCTTTTGGAACTTCTAACCGGAAAGGCCCCGACTCATGCCCTGTTAAATGAAGAAGGGGTTGACCTGCCGAGATGGGTGCAGTCGACGGTAAAGGAAGAGTGGACATCCGAGGTGTTTGATCTCGAGCTATTGAGGTATCAGAATGTGGAGGAGGAAATGGTGCAACTGTTGCAGCTCGCAATAGATTGTGCGGCTCAGTACCCTGATAACCGGCCCACAATGGCAGAGGCCATGAGCCGGATTGAGGAGCTGCGTCGGGTGAGCTTGATAAAAGGCGGAGATGGTGTTTCAAACCCGGACCCGGATCGTGTTCATGAATCAGATTGAGGCATGAGAATTAGTTGAATGAATGTGTTGGTTGGATTTGGATGACTGGTGTTGTAATTATGATTTGCTTTAGCTTTTGCTTTTGCTTTTTGAGAAGCAACTTTCATGTGTTTCAAGATAATGATGTTTCATTTCACCTGCCCTTCGCCATTTGTTGTCTGCAATTACTACACAACTTTTTTCATCTTTATTGTCATTGAATTGCCGTTTGGCCCAATCCTCAGCTGAGCCAACCCTGTGCGATTTTTATTCTTTCAAGCTTCATAGACGGGAGGGAACTCACTGTCTTATGTTTGTCTCAATATTTCATAGACGGGATGAAACTCACCGTCTCATGTTTGGCTCAATATGGGAGTGGAAAGAACTCACAATCCCACCGTTTCGCCTAACATGCAACAAGACAAAGAAGGCTATTTTTGCATTCATCAAAATAGATGGACAAGAATGAGATATAAACTAAAATATTACTAATCAACCTTTGTTTAATATGATATTTGTTTTTTTTTTTTTTTTGTATAGAAGGGGAGTCTTGTTCAATCAAGAAAAAATTATTGAAACATTTTTTTAATAAAAAGAGAGAAGATAAAAACCAAGGTCAGCACATGACAGTAAGCTAAACCGAAGCAACCACCGGAAAGAAGCAAAACTCAGAACAAAGAGAGGAGGAGGAAAGAGGAAAGGAAAGAAGAGACGGACCTATCACTAGAGAAGGTTCCAAACAAGTCTAGCCTAGACAATGTTCGGGGAAGGCAAAATCAGCCTAGACCGTACATCATCAGAGATGGTCTTGACCATCATGTCATAAGATCTTCTTTTATTTTTGAAGATACGATTATTTCTTTCCTACCAAACATGGTAGACAGTCCCAGCAAGCACTAATCTGAAAATACTAGACCAGATGGTCTTGCCTTTTGGTAAGTGTTAATTTATCAACCCTATTACATCTATTTTCTTACTCTTTTAGGTTATTTCATTTGCCCAACATGTCCAATTGAGTCTCTTTTATACTAGTTTAATAGTATTTTTTTTATTAACCTGGATATCCAACCCGCTATGCGAGCCGACTAATCCCAGGGCGACCACCTGCTTTGCAGATAGCCCGGAGTCACCGCATTTGAACCTCCTTGGCTACAAGGGGTGTTGCGTTCAAGTATGTGCGTTAATGTTGTATTCAAGTTCTCCCTTTTATAATGCTTTGTAATAGTTAGGCATTTACAGTTTTCTTAGTATAAATAGTGATTAGCTTCTTAATTGTTATTAATTTCTGCGATTAATCTGATTAGTGATGTAATCTTTTCTCTCAAGAAATACATTTAAGATTGGTGAAAATTCTCTCTACTCTTGTTCTTGATCTTCATCTTGAAGATTATTTTCTAAACGTTTATGATTTGGACATTTGGCTTTTCAACCATTGGCTCGATCGATGGATTTGTCTGCCAATGTTGGTTTTAATGATGTTTTTGCTACTGTACTGGATGAAGAACAGGATTTCGGAGAAGATATAGAAAATATTGACGAATCATCTGGGTTATATTTTGACTTTGAAGCTGACATCAATGAAGAAGACCAGTATTCCCATTTCAGGGTGATCGTCAGACATTGCCGGAACCCTCCACTACAGTTGAAGCTGGTGCATCCGATACTCCTAGAGAGCCATTTGATCCGACCGAGATTTTTACAAAGAATTACGTGCCATTCGAAATTCGTGCATACTTTCCAGGCTATGACAGGGCAAGAATCAGGGAACCTTATCTTGAAGATATCTATTTTGGCATCTTCCTCCAGCATCGAAAAGCTCTAAGTGCTGATAAGATCCTTTGTATCCATAAGAAAACCAAAGATTATCGTCTGGAGTATAAGCACTTCCTCAAAACCAAGCGTCTCCCTATCAGCCAAGTTAGGACCAAACATCGAGTTGTGTCAATAAAACAAATTGATGCTTAAAGACTTCTCAGAGTCTGGTATCCGGTATTCAGAGTGACACGACAAGATGGTAAGGTCTGGATATTTAGTGAAGCTGACTTCTCAAACTTGTATTTAGAAGATCTGGAGTATATTTACCACAAAATCCGAAATATGACGAACAGAAAAGAAGGAGTTCTTGTGGCTCTCAATGCAATCAAAAGGTTTATGCGGAGTCATGTCAAGGTGTCTATGGTCATTGATGTTCAGATGGTTCTTGAAGATAATCAAAGAATTATTAATCTGAAGAGACCTAATCAAGATCTAGAAGACATTGAAGCTTATCCGTTTTACATGATTCTTGAACAACCGGAGTTCGGGGTGATATACGATGCCGAGGATCGGATAAAGAAGTTTATGAGGTTCAACGAGCTTAATAAATTTTCTGATGGTACTATTCGAATGGTGAGACGGGCGCTGGATACAAGAAGAGTTAATAATGATAAAGCTGCAGAATCGGAGAGGATGAGTCCGAAAGATAGGTATTTGTTGATTAATGCCTTGAACTTACTTGAGGAGAAAATACAATATCGGAATGCTTTGAGGAGGCTGGAGAAACTGCTTGGACTCAGAAAGACAAGATTTACAAGAGTTCGAACTTGAATCCAAAGGGGGAGATTGTTGGGTTCAAGTATGTGCGTTAATGTTGTATTCAAGTTCTCCCTTTTGTAATGCTTTGTAATAGTTAGGCATTTACTGTTTTCTTAGTATAAATAGTGATTAGCTTCTTAATTGTCATTAAGTTCTACAATTAATCTGATTAGTGTTGTAATCTTTTCTCTCAAGAAATACATTTAAGATTGTTGATCCTATATGTTGGGTTCGAGTATGCGCGTTATTGTTGTATTCAAGTTCTCCATATTTTACATGTTTTGTAATATTGTAGTTTTATTCCTTCCTTATTATAAATAGTAGTTTCCTTTGTAATTGTCATCAGCAAGTCATTAGCAATTGTAATATGAAATTAGCCTTGTAATTTCTCTCTCAATCAATCAAGAGACTTTTGGTGATCTACTCTCTCTTCATCTTATTTCTTGAAGATCTTAATCATGTTTRTATGATTTTGGGAATCACAATTGGTATCAGAGTGGACTGCAGCAGTTTTGATTAGATGATTAAACAAATTTACACGAATTTGCACGAATTTTAGTGGATTTTCGATCTGAATCTTCATATGTTCATATCTGTTCATAACTGTTCTTCGTTCAGGATCTGTTTTTGATCATTTTTTGGTTGAATTTTGATTGTTAATCGATTTTATATGCATTGCTAGATTCGCAATCTGATTTTGAACAAGTTTAATTCACAATATTTTTGATTTTTAAACAAGTTTTGAACATGATTTGATCGATTTTTGAGTTTACAAATATTGTTGAATGTTCTTCAAAATTCATAAATTTTCATGTTTTGATCCAAAATTTTGGTAAAAAGTGTGAAATTTGTGTTTTTGGTTGAGTTTAAGTCCGATTAACTCTTAGTCGATTTAGTCTGTTTATCGCTTAAAGCTTGTACGGTATAGACTTGTATTTTTTTGTGTGAATTGGATTTGATCGGATTAGAATAAACCGGTCAAGTCGTGATTGGATTAAGTGCTAAATCGTTTGACCCTTGTGCGGATAATTGAACGATTTAAATAAATCGCTTGGTAAGTCGTTTGTGCTTTGTGCGGATATTTGAGCGATTAAGAAATCCGCTTAACAGGTTTGTATGTTGTGCGATTTACCAGGTTAAGGTTGAGCGATTTACTTTTTGATTGAATCTTTTGAATGATCGTACTTTGACTTTGACTTTTTGAACGGATTTGTGAACGGATCTTGACTTTTATGATCGATTTAAATCTTTGACTTTTTGATCAATTTGATTTTAAGCGGACTTATTCGTATTTTGACTAGTTGACTTAGTTGACCTTGACTAGTTGACTTGTTGACTTTTTGCGTCCGATTTTCATTTTGGAATTTTGACTAAGTGTTGAAAACTTCTGATTTGAGATTTTTAATCAAATTTGATTTTTGTGCCTTATTCGTATTGATTTTGCATTATCCGTATGATGTTTGCTTAATCGTCAATTCTTTGGCTAAGTGTTGATAAGTGTGCGATTTGTTGTCTGGACTTCTTTGATTGTTAAAAAGTTTGACAATTGTCCGGACTTCTAATCCGAATAAGCTTGACCAGATTCCTAATCCTGATAAGCTTGTGTGTTTAATTTTTCTAAGTGTTGAATGAGTGCAAATTCCTGTTTGAGATTTATCAGATATATTTTTGTATACTGATCATTTAATCCAAACTTTGAACTACAATTGATCCTATATCATACGAACTGATAAAATGAGTTCAAGGGAAACAATGGCTATTGGTATTGATACCAAGCCACCAGTGCTATTTCGTGGAGATTATAATCAATGGAGAGATAGATTTCTGAATTTCATAGAGAGAATGAAGGAAAGAGATATGATTATGGAATCTCTGATGGAAGGCCCTGTTATATACTACAGAGAGATACCTGCTATTCCAAAACAAGGCATACTTGCTCAGACTGTTATTAAAGAAAATTTTTGATATTCAGCTCAAGAAAGAGAAAGAGCCCATGCTGATGTGCTTTGGAAGTCCTACATTATGCAAGCACTGACCAATGACATCTACACAAGCATTGACAGTCATAAAGCATCTGGTCACAGCATGTGGGTTCAAATTGAAAAGATGATGATGGGTTCTAAAGTTGAAACTCAGTTGAAAATCACTAACTGTATATCAGCATATGAAGAATTCAAGGCTATAGATGGTGAGAGCCTTGATGATGTTTATGATAGGTTTACCAGACTGCTTAATGATCTGACAAATAACGGAATCTCTAGAACTGTAATAGAGATAAATGTTAAATTCCTCAACAATCTTCAACCAGAGTGGAAACCGTTTGCTAATCATATCAGATTCAATAAATCATTATCTGATATTGATGTTCATGAAGTATATGAAACTCTGAAGCAGAATGAGGAAGATGTTTTGGAGATCCGAAATTCAAAGAAGAAGAAAGAGAAGGAAGTTGCTGATCCTTTAGCTTTTGTATCTGAAAAGAAAGACAAGAAAGGAAAGAGCAGAGCTGGAAAGCAAGTGAAGGAAGTTAGCTAATCAAGTGAATCTGAAAAAGAAGAAAGTAACAGTTCAGATTCAGACTCTGAAATGTTAGAAA